TAAACCCTTTATTGTATTTTTATATCAAAGTTTTAAAGTAATTCATAGTTTTCACAATATAAACCAAATGATTAACATAGATCTGGTCTTAGTAAAATCCTAATAATTTAACAAAGACATTAAATACATAAATTGTACAATTATTAATAAACAACAACATAAATAAAATCACAAACCTGTGGAGTGTTTGTCTGAAACATCTGCGTCACACGCTGCTCTGGCTTCTGACTACAGTTTCACCCTCAAACTAATGACTCATGATGAGTGCTATGAGAATTTGCATCAAAAACATCAGTGTGACTAATGGCTAAACTATATATAGTCAGAGCATATACACACACTTTGTATCGATGAAGTGAATCTGTAGATCTTTAGACGTAGTTGTTCAAAAAGGCAACGTAACTTGACAGAAATCATACGTATTAAAAAGCCTTCTTTTGATTTATAGTGGTTTGTAACTTCACAGCAGCCTTTTCCCTGTCAAATAAATCACACACACACACAGACAATAATACACACAGAGCTGATACAGTGATTTGAATAAACATCAGATGATTTGAATTCTGTCAAGCTGGTGAATAATTGTTTGTTTTGGACCAACGCTAACTCAAGTTTTCCACTTCTTATGCCTAACTTTTCATTGCCAACAAATGAATATACTGACCGATATTGACCAATACAGTCAAATACTACGGTTTGATTAAATATATATATAAAAAAACGTATCTGCAGACCTGGTTAGGAAGGTAGAACAACAGGTGACCCTGTTTTTGGTGATAAAGGGAAGCTGTTGACACGGGAACGTCTTTAACAAATGTAAAAATGAACAGACCAACCAGACCAGAAATGGTCAGACTATAGCCTGCTGGACCTTCAACACTGTCCCGCCAAACACTGGCACAAAGTTTGTGAAGAAAATTTAATTAGTCTTCATTTGAAACCACTGGATGGAGACACACATTATTCATTATATTTATTGGTTCATAAAGCTAGACGTCAGACATACACGTCATTTACCAGTGTTGTCAGGTGTATGATAATTATCGCATTTTGTACGATGATTTCGCTCTCAGTACGATCAACTTTAACAAATGTAAAAATGAACAGACCAACCAGACCAGAAATGGTCAGACTATAGCCTGCTGGACCTTCAACACTGTCCCGCCAAACACTGGCACAAAGTTTGTGAAGAAAATTTAATTAGTCTTCATTTGAAACCACTGGATGGAGACACACATTATTCATTATATTTATTGGTTCATAAAGCTAGACGTCAGACATACACGTCATTTACCAGTGTTGCCAGGTGTATGATAATTATCGCATTTTGTACGATGATTTCGCTCTCAGTACGATCAAAAAAGTCACAAAAAGACCAGATGTACGATCATTTGACCGTTCCGTGAATGTGTGGTTGTGATCGAATGGCGCAACTTTCTATGAACCCTGAAGGCATCTGTTTCCATGTGACAAGTTTCCAGCCAATCGTGTTTTTTCTAAATGTGAAGTATGAGTGACGTCGACGCTGTTGTCTCAGGACTATAAGCATGATTGGCTGAATGCTGCACCTGCCCCATGAGACGCTCCAGTCGGGTCCCCGCGGTAGTCAATCGACGAAAATTCAAAAAAGAGGACGCTAAGAAAAGGAAAGAGGAAAAATAAGGAAAATTGAGAGACCCTCGGGAAGGAGAGGCAAAAAAGTTGGTGGCGAAAGTACAAGTAAGCAGCAGCATTGCCTCATAAACATGTAGAAAATACCGCCAATTTGCCGGGCAGCCGAGACCTGTTGTGGGTTTTGACAGCAAGGCTTTCTGTCGTTGCTACACAGAGTTGGTGGCTAAAAGAACGGTTAATAAAAACCACAGTAAATTACAAACGACACACACAAAATCATCCGAAAGGAAAAAGTGGCCGTGCATTAACTCCAACTTTATAACCTTTTTTTTCCGACTTTGAAACTGGAAGGCTGAAAACGTGACTGTGACGTAATTCCCAGCTCCGAAATGGGTCACCTGTATCTCCAACCTGACGGCACGATCACATCTGGAAGGCTGAAAAGGTGACTGTGACGTAATTCCCAGCTCCGACTTCCAAGGTAAATGAAACCAAGTTATGTCAAGCCGTTTAAACATTTAAACTTGTAATTTGTAGTTTACAAATAATTTGTAATTTGTAAACTTGAAACCCAAATCAATGTCAAAGGTGACGTCATTCATCGTATCATCAAGATACCTTGAACTTGAGTTATGTGGATATCCAGAACTGACCTGTGGATATCTGTAATTATGAAACCCATACAAATGAATGGCAAAGGTGACGTCATTTGCGCTGTGAAGTATGTCATTGTGGATATCTAAAATGTTCTTACAGATATCTGCAGTACATATCCAGCTTAGCGTTTAAATGTTAAAACGGCCATACCAGTTCGCGGGAATGGGAATCCATTCCATACCGACGCCACAAAGACGTTAGTGTCTGTTAGAAGCTAATGAACACTAGAGTGACTATAGCACATTTATAAACGTATTTTGGTTGTGACGGGTGTGTGATAATTTCCCTTAAAATACGATAATTTCATACCTCTGGTACCATAATCCTACATTTCCCAGCTGGCAGCGCTGTCATGTAAGTTACGGTGCCACAGGAGGACACTGGCCGTTATGGTTCCTGTACTGGAATGAACTGCTTCAATAATTAAGCCGACTTGTGTTGAGCAACATTCTTGAATGCTGTGCCAACATGCCACCTGCTGCAGCTTAGGTAGTGCAGGACATTTTTTAAATGTATCTCTGTGTGACAAAGAAAGAAAAGGGTGAGACAAGGTACGTCAAAGGGTGTAACTCCACACCGCCCATTGACTGGACACTGATGACTGTTCAGATGCAGTGGGAGCAGAGAAGGGAATGTTGGAGTTGGAAGAAATCAAGGCCTTTGAAACATTCTAGAATCTCATCAGAAATGTGTCACCTGGATCTCCAACCTGACGGCACGATCACATTTGGTGGGTATATTGGATGAGACAGACGAGGTCTGTGACGACAGTTCTCAGCCATATCCTGAAACAGCAGCCCTTAATGATGAACGGCTTTGAACATGGCAGGTCCCAATGACCTGCACGCACTTTCTCTTAATCACTTACTACTGTTCAAAAGAGAACCAATACTGCCACCTGGAGTGTTTATAAAGAATGACGTGTATGCTTGTATCTCATAAATATGATATATTAACTCACAATAACTAGACAGTATCTCACAATAACGAAATATTAACTCATAACAATGAGATAGCATTTCATTAGTATGACATATTTACTATACTAACAGTATCTTATTAAACATCCCAAGATACTTGTCCTGCATATTTCAAGCATCTAAGATCTGAGACGACTCAGCTGAATTGGGGCCAAAATCTCAATACATCCCCCATCTCGGCTGAATTAGGGCCAAAATCTCAATACATCCCCCATCAAATGTTTAAGATTTTTAAGAGATTTAGATCTAAGATTTCATTTTACTTAGTGGCTTGATTATGTGTATGTTGTCAGCCGTGTGACCACTAGAGGACAGCATCGACCACCGCTCTGCTTCGACACAGCAGCCTCGAGGTCATGATAGAATAAAGAAATTGGGACTGATTTTACTTTCCTGTGTTTAACCGTCTGCGTCTTTATTTTTTTTATGTCTTCTACATTTAGTTTAACTCAGGTTAGTATCACTACAGTCGGAAATTTAAACTCGTCCTGATTCAGAAAATCATTGGTTTCACAGTCGATCCACTGCTGCCTTCATCACTATCTTCAAGTGTGTTTTTTCTTGACTAGGTCATTGAAATTCCTTAATTTAGATTAACTTCAGTGACAAAAACTGACCACAGGAGGCAGTAGTGAGCCAGCAGTTGCTATATTTTGGTGAGCTTCAATCGCCGATTTTCCCTATTGGGTTTGGTATTTGGGGGTAGCGGTTTACCGTCACTAGTTTCCTGTGGATAAGGTCTTTTTATAAAGTGAGATGAAGCAATGAACATGTTCTTTATGGTGGTGAAAGTAGCGAGTTAATTCAGCTTCTCTACCTGTAGTTTATTTCAACTCAGTGTTAAGATGTGGTTAAAGGACTCTGTGTAATTTCTCTTTTCCTTCTACAGGGTCACAGTGAACTCACTTTGCTTCCTCCAGTCTCCACACAAATGTATTTGTTTGAGAGTGAAGATGACGGGAGTGAGAGCCGACTCCAGTCTGAAGATGCTGCCTCAACGTGCTTCTGTGCACATCACCAATTTAAGATCTGAGGAGCCAGGAGGGCAAGGTGACTTTGGCATAATCTGCCAATTTGAGTTTGTTAATGCAGGGGGAAAAAAACCCATGGGAGATGGAGAAGGAGGGAGAGCGAAGGAGACGGAGGGGGGTGAGCAGCAGGAGAACGTTGTTCTCTCTCATCTTTCTGTCTCCAGAGTCCATCATACACTAGTGACTGGATTTATGCAGTTATGTAAGGAGGTGTTTAGGGAGTTTAGGGCTGTTTACTTCAGCTTTTGACCTTTGATAAAAAATATTCAGCATGGTGACCATTGTTGAGTTTATTATTTCATTTTAAATAACATTAGATCAAAGATTATATATTTATTCTAGTGTAATTTCACTTTTAACCATTGCAAACCGCCACTTTATAGGAAATCACACATTCAGAGACACTGCTGCCTCCTGTGGTCACAAGACGTTTCTTATAATCTCTGATTTTTCCATGGGCAAAGGTTTAGGAGAGTGAGTGGCTTAGAGTCTCACTTCTCCGTTGAAGAATCCGTATAGCTAACGAGCTGTGAGAATTATAGGGGTTTAAACTACGGCCAATGACCGGACCCCTGTGATAACCACGCCCACAAACCAATTCATTTTTAAGATGATTAAATATAGTCAGAGACATTTAATATGTTCGTTTGTTTGCACTTGTTTTTGAGTGCGTTTGTTTGTGTCTGTGTGTGTGCGCGTGCGTCTGATGCGTTTCTCTACCGATGAAGATTTCTTTCATTTATTACACATGTTTGTGCGTGTCTGCGTGCGTGTGTTTCATTGGGCAATAGAAGCTCCCGTGAAGCTGCCGCACCTGCAGCGTCAAAAACAAATCAGAAAACATCTGCCACTCTAAAATCTGGCCCTTTCGGCAGTTATTTAAATGCTGGGAGCGTTGTGGTTTCACCTGTAGCGCCTAACCCGATATAAATCACTCCTCCTCCTGCAGCTCCTTCTCTCCTGGTTCCGCAGCAGCTGCAGAAGATGAGGATGCACCGAGCGGCGGTGAAGCGACCACCGCGTCTGCGACCAGAAGGCGCGGGAAAAAATAACAGAAGGAGGAGCTGAGGGGAGGAGAAGGGAACGAGGAGGAAAAAGGAGGAGAAGTGAAGGAGGTGGAGATCCCGCGAGAAGAAGAAGGAGCGACAGACAGACGAACAGAGAGAGGGAGAGAGAGAGACGGGGGGACCGTAACCAGAGGCAGGAGAGTAATTGATCATCACTCATTGATCAGTGATTTGATGAAGCTGCGGTGATTTTATTTATTTCACACTGGAGGAGGAGAGACTGCGTCTCCCAGAAAAGGTAAGAAGAAAAACCAACCACAGTCCGTCCCTCTCCTCCTCTCTATCCCAGTCTTCCTCCTCTTCATCCTATACCTCTCGGCTTGTACCCCTCATGTTCTTTTCCCCTCTCTTGTGTTCACCTGTTTTCTCCTCCACATCTCCACTCTTCGTCTCCTCTTTCACTCTTACATATATCTCTCATCCGCTCCTCCAGTCAGTCTTAATGTCATCCTCTAGCTCTCCTCGTTTTCCTTTCCAAACTCTTCCTCACCTCCTCTCATTCATCTTTTCATTCTCATCTTTTCTTCTCCTCCAGCTCCCGTTTCCCCCTCTCACATTCTCCGTTCCTCTTTCAATCCGTCACTAATTATTTTCCACATCTTTCCTATTTTTCCTCCTCTTCATTCTTTCTTCCTTCGTACACATTCTCCTCATTTTCATCCTTCTCCTTCCTCTCCTCATCTCCTCCACATTTTCTTCCTTCCCCGATGTCATCTTCTTTCCCTTAGCTGCTCTCCGTCCTTACTTTCTTCCACCTCACATTTTCCCCTGCTCTAACTCTACACCTTGAGGAAATTGGTTAATTAGTTATGTGATGTCACTATGCCACTGACCTGTTGATGTGTATACAGGTTAAGGTGTGTGTGTGTGTGTGTGTGTGTGTTTTCATAGAGAGGCTGTTCATCTACATTTACCCCAGTACTTCTCAAATGGTGGGGCAGGGCCCCCTTGTGGGACACGGTGAGGTGGTGGCGGGGGGGTAATAAGTGTACCACTGCTGTAATACTTGAATGCTAACAATCCTCCAGTCACTAGGTGGCAGCAACTGATACAGTGGTTTGTACAGATAAAAATATACACGTTATCAGGTTCTCAATTAGTATTTCCATTTGCGGGGGTGTGGGTCGTCAGGGGGGCGATGGGCGTGAAAACATTTCAGTCCCCAAGGTGGGGGGGGTGGGGTGTTACAGAAAATAATTGAAAACCACTGCTTTACCCTAATGTTTGTAAACCACTTTTAGCTGAAAGAGAAACAGCTGCTGACGGTCCACTGCTGCCTCCTGTGGTCAGTGTGTGTCACCAAAGACACATTAACAAATTTAACAAAATTAACGAATTTACTATATAAAGCAACTTAGGTTAGGATAGGATAGAAAATCTAAAAAAAATCATTTGTCATTTGAATATGATATATATATACATATTTATATATGTATGTGCGTATGTGTTTATATATACAGTATATATACATATATATTTTCATATATACATATGTATATATATACATATGTATATATGTATGTGCGTATGTGTTTATATATATATATATATCTAAACATATATATACTGTATATACATATACATGTACATACATACACACACATATATGTTAAAACAAATGTTCACGGCTCATTGTAGAATAAGACACAACAATAAAGTCCAACCGGTCCAAAGCTGGGATACTATTTTCCTCCTTCCAGTGACGGTGAAACATTTCTGTGCTGTTCAGTAAAGTTGACGCTGCTCCTGTTGATTGTGTAACACTTCACACCTCACTGATCCTCAGAGTGTTACCTCAGCAGCTGCAGAGATGCTGCTGCTGCTGCTGCTGCCAATCTGTGTGTGTGCACCATGTAGACCTCTGTGTGTGTGTGTGTGTGTGTGTGTGTGTGGCATTACCCTCCAGGACACTCTGTGATTAAAAAAACAGCAATGCAACACTTACACAGCAGAAAGAGCAGTAAGCAGCCACATCCAGCCTTAAAGCGGGCTCTTCAAGGTTTCCCAATCTGAAATAGTCCTTGATATGAAACAGGGCCTGGAGTCAAGTGTAAGCCTACCTTATTATCTCACATTCCATACCTGTCCATTTCAATGAAACAAGGGTTCATGGTTTCATGTTTTTGTTTCCAACCTGCAGAATATATTTTTAATTATAAACATTTCTCTTCCACCAAACCTTTTACAACCCCCTGGAGTACTACTGTGTTGAAGAACTGTGCTTTAAAAGGAAATTCAGGGTTTGAAAAGGCACAATACCATTTTTAGACTCTGTTCATCCTGTAGTGAGCTCCCCCCCCCCCCCCCCCACTATTGCTACAAACTATACAGAGGCTGTAAGCCTTATACTCTCCTACGTAAAAGGATGAAAAAATTAAATTGGAATTAATCTCACAGACCAAAGTCCATCCAAGAAATCAATGGTTTTAGCTACATGTTGTCCAGTGCTTGTTTTTAAAGTAAGTAAAATGCGCTGGACACTAAGTAATATTTTTAATTTATATTACTGATACAAGCTGACCACAGGGGGCAGCAGTGGGCCAGTAGCTCCTGTGTTACTGCGTGTTAAAATCACTGATTTTCTCCAAAGATTTTGCTGTTGTTTACAAACCCAGAATTGAGGTTTGATCTGATCTGCGATGGTTGCCGTTACACTCCAGTGCCATATTTATATGTGGAAAAGCTAAACAGAAATAGTGAATTGATTAGCATACATTTTTTTAAATAATTTCTACACACTGTCCTCTATCAGAAGTCTCTCTCTCCCCCCCCTCTCTCTCTCTCTCTCTCTCTCTCTCTCTCTCTGCTGTAATTGATGGCGTCATAAAATCGTAGAGGACTGGTGATTATTATTCTACGTTGCTGCTGGCATTTGAGAGCTGAGCAGCAGCAACGTCAGTCACTTCTGATAGCACACACACTCACACTCCTCTCTCCCTCCGTCTCTCCCTTTCTCTGTCCAACACACACACACACCGACACTAAACACAGAGGTTTACCGTCCTGTGTGTGTCTCCTCCACTCTCCACTTCATTATCTCCAGCAGTGATTGCCACTTTTAGAAAAGAAAAACGTTGCTCATGTGACAGATGACTGGTCTACGACTCAACCATTGAAGTAAATCACTTCATCTTCATGGCAACTAATGAAGTTTTATTGCGCAGCGTCTCTGGTGTCAACCACAGAACACACCATTTGAAGAACAGTTGGTACAGATCCCAAAACATGAAGAGTTTGGTCGCCTGGCTAGAAAACCAGCATCAAGCAAAGGCTCTGGCAACAAGAATGGGTCATGACTCACAACTTGGCAAGACCTATTAAAAAAAAAGATTTGCTAAAAATAAACTGATATTGATGCTACACAACGACCCCACCAATAGCGAAATGGAGCTTAAAGATCTTGATAAATATGTTGAAGTAATCGTCTCCAGGTTAGACCAAAGAAAAAAGGCTCAGAGCTTCGCCACGTAGCACAATGACAACCAGAAATACCAAAACAGCTAAACATGAGTCGGAAGAACAGCAGGAAGGTATTGCACAAAAGTAGAATAACCAAATCCAGGGTAGCTGAGGTAGCTTTTAACCTATTCTGATCTGCGCATCTTCAACGCACGTCGAGCCTGGAAGAGGCACGGCTATGTCGACCCGAGTGTAGATATTCTGGAAACTTAGGTGTTTACAACGTTCTTGAATAGACGTCGGAATTGCTCACAAAATCACCGATGGGACGGTGGATAACAGTCGTACTTCATACTTCACAGCTGCAGAACAACAGCTCCTGATGGACTTCTATGAAGAGGAATCCTTTTTAGCTTGACTTCCTGTGTGTGTGTGTGTGTGTGTGTGTGTGTGTGTGAAGGAAACTATAGTAGGAGCCTTCTTCTGGTTCCAACCAAGACTAAAGACTGTGTGTGACCGGCAGACAGTAGCAGATGGATGGAGAGAACTTTATGAATCCCTCTGCAGTGCCTTATGGGAAATGAGGCATATATTAAGCATATATGCCAGAGTAATAAATGAAACACTTGAATCAATATAAATGGACTGTTGCAGTTACTGACAGTCAATGGACTTCAATGTCAATGACAAATGACAATATAAATGGAACATTGTAGAAATACAGGTGAACCAGGAGGGTCAGTCGTAGTCTGGCTGTTGGCCTGGTCAGGAGCAGACCAGTTAGCTCTGTCCTGCTTTCTACAACCGACTCCAGGATAACTTCAGACAGATTAAGCAACATGTCCTGGTTTAATCCCTTATCTTGGTTTTGTAATGTTAGCCCTCAGGAGACTGAAGTCTGTAAACAAAACATTCTGTCGCACCAATCACAGACTGCCACAGACTAAGGTCCTTAGAGAACAGTGGTTTTAGCTCGCAGAGAAACACGACTGCTGGTCCACTGCTGCCTCGTGTGGTGAGTTGGTGTCACTGAGATAAACCTAAATAAAGAATCTATACACAAATTACGATGTAACTGCACTGTGTGTGTGTGTGTGTGTGTGTTCACACTGATTTGATTTTTACTGTTTTGCAGCACTGAATAACAACATCTACTGCACTTCCTGCATCCTCAAAACAACTGTATTAATTCGGTGTGTGTGTGTGTGTACTGTAGTGTAAGACTGCAATCATTTGCTTTTCAATTGCCTCCTGAGGGTCATTGAAAGAAGGAGGAGGAGGTGGAGGGAAGGATGCGGAAAAGAGGAGGTAACAACCAGGCAAAAGGAAATGGAGAGAAAAATCAGGAATTTCTAAGACCAAGCTTTGAAACACAAGACCGTTCCTACGTTCTCCTTGTTATTCTGCTGTGATTTTTTTTGACAGTTAAACTAAAGATTCTGAAGCATTTTCTCTTCTCCACCAAAGTCCACTGAACAATGAACCAATTCACAGCCTTACATGCAGATGGCAGTGTTAATTTTGACAACAAGGTCTGGTTCAGTCTTAGTCTTTTGAATAACAGGCTATTTAGTTTTAGTCATATTTTAGTCATCTGGCATGTTTTAGTCTTATTCTAATTTGACTGGACTAAATGTCATACAAGTTTTAGTCAGGAATATCTCTTAGTCTCTAGACTAAATATATCTCCAGAATTGCCAGTCATTGGAAATATCAGTTAAATCAAGTTGTTTACAAAGGGCTTAAGGTTTGACCGTCCAAGACAGGAACAGAAGCAGTTGCAATATGCAGTGTATGTATTTTTCTACTCCTCTGTCTATATAAAATCAAGTAGATTAA